CCATATCTTGTTTTGTTGTTTAATGCCCCCAGCTGCAAGGCACATGTGGTAAAGTGTCTTCAGCTGTATTCCCCTGCTTGTGCTTGAATATACTCAGGATTTCCTTTCATCAAAAGGGACCTGAACAGACTCTCTGTCTTGTCTCCGTTCTTCGTGTCTCTTGCTCTTCCATCCCCATTCTCTCTCTTGCTAGACCCTGACCCGCAGACCAGAGCAGCAGCTCAGGCCGGGGCAAGAATCTGCTTATTTTGTTTCCTTGGAATTGGGGGAGAGAGTGAACATAGGTTACCCCAAAAGTTTGCTGTAAAGTTGGGGATTAGACTGGTAAGTGTGGTTCTACAACAACTGAAGGAGAGGGGAAGATCTACAGGCAGCTTTCATGCTTCCCTGTCAGGAATTGTCAGTGAGTTTTCAGTGAGTGCATGCTCCAGTTAGGCACTAGAATACAACAAGGAGTTAGGAGGAGGGAGCTTAAAAAGGAATTGTCTGTGGGACTCACAGGAGATGTTGGCAGGCAGAAAGGAAGGCTACAGCTAGTGTTATGATATAGCTCAATAGACGACACCAGGGGATTGAGGTTGACAGGGAGAAAGGAGTGATGAATTCTTCACTTTCCTTAACTGTACCCCTGCCATTTTCTTTTGCTGTGTTCTTAGTGAATTTCTGCAGGCTGAAATGATGGAATGAGTTGGGGCAAGGAAGATTGGGGGAGAAGTTCTTTGTGATCCACTGGTATTTGAGATTTACAGGAAAGAAAAAGCACAGAAAATTCCCTGCTGCTGTGCTGAAATGAGAATGGAGAAATAGTAAGTGGGGCAGCAAAGAGAGAGGTGTGGATATGCCTTTAGCATTCTGATACCCTGGAAAGAGTAGCACTTGTGTCAGTGGGTGTGCAAGCCTGGCTTGGGGGCTGAGACATAGCAAAGAGTGGGGGTAGGGAGGTTCGAAGGGAAAGATCTCTGTGATCCACAGGACATCTGAAGAATAGGAAGTGAAAACTCCCAGAGGTGGTGTGCTACAAAGGTGAGGTTGAGATTGTGGGATTGAGTCTGCAAGAACTGAAGGAAGAGAAGATATTTAAACAGTCTACCTGATGTGCTGGCAGGCATGAAGTGGAGCCATGGTTCTCATCCTGTGGGTCCCTATCCTGTTTGGCAGCCTAATGACACTTCCATAGGCATTGAATACCAAATGTCCTCTATATCAGCTATTTACAGTATGATTCATAAGAGTAGCAACATTACAGTTATGAAGTAGCCACAAAGTAATTTAATGGTTCATTGACCACAACATGGAGAACTGTATTAAGGGGGCATAGTTAAAAGACTCTTTTTCCCAGATATAAATTGAGCACAACTATATTACCATATTGTAATTGTTAAAGTAAAAGATAGACCTAACACCCAGTCAATCATTTTTGTTAACTAAATAGAACCTCTGTCATCTCTCCTAACTAAAAGACTTAGTTCTGAATCTGGCTTTTTTCCTGACTTTGGAACGAATGTCAGCTGAAAATCATCCTCTCAAATCTGTTCTCTCAACATAAATAGCGTGGGTTGGCTATGAGACTGTAAGTCTTTAACCCTGTCAGAAATCCAGAATGACTGAATTAACTGAAATTATGGGAAGCACAAAGCATAGCTTCTAAAACTTAGCCAATATATAGAGACTGCTGAACACCTGGGCAGTCTGTATACTTCAAAACATTGGAGTATCTGATCTTCAGCCTTCTGGCCCAGGATCATCTGACAGATCTAGTAATGCAGAAATATTAAGGGCTGATTACTCTGTCTTGGCAGATATAATCAGTCGACTATTGTCCTAATAATATGTCCTAATGTGTCCTTTTCTGGATAGTAATTTGTCTGTAGATGAAAAGAGGCACTTCTTGCCTAGTGGCTGTCTCATCACAACTGGAGTAACTCCAAAGATGCTCAATTTCTTCTTAGAATCCAAGACAGGGAAGCTGTCAGGAGCAGACAGCTCTCTAATAAAATGAACATTTATACAGGAATGTTTGTAACTTCAATTCTATGGACTTCTGATGTTTTAGAAAACCAACTATCTATGTAAAGCAATCTGGAATGTTGTCCATAAACTACTCTCAGCTATTTTTAGAAAACACCCTAACAATAAACTCAGAGCCATGCAATTGCTATAGGCCCTTAACTCACAGGCTAACCATCTTAAATCAGATAAAAAAAAATTAACGAAGGACTGGGACTAAGCCTTGTATTCCTAAATGTATTCCTAAATGTGTAATGCACAATGCTTATGAGAGTAACAATATTAATCTCGCTTTTATATCAATAAGAAACTCATACCAATGAAAACCTTATATTTGAAATCAAACTAAATTTTGTACCATTTAAGAAATATAACTTATCTTAAAAACAATTATGCAGATTTCTACCAAATAGGATATGGCTAAGTGATCAATTCTAACTATTCTCCCCTGTTCCAATAAAACCATTACCATTCCCTAGAAGGACATCCTAATATTAACCACCTCAGTCCCCAAGCCCCAGGGAATAGGGGCACTGACTCTTCATTAACTTCTTCAAGTTGAATGTGGGTGTTGAGATATTAGAAGAGGGGTGGGGGGAAGTGTAAGTTGATAAGCCTCTGATGTCTGTGTCTTCACTGCATCCAGCTGAAATTCCAGGACTACAGAGGTTTCAGCAGGTTTGCTCAGTTTGCTTGATGAGTAGATACACCAAGGCTGTGTATTCTGCAATATACAATTCTCAAAATAAATTTTAGTATCAAGGTAATTTTTTATTTGAATTCTGGAATCTAGTCTTCTGTCAGCCTGCCTCTGTCATGTCTAATCCATATAATTCTGCAAGATACAAATATCTTAATCATCTCTTCTGAAAACACACAGACAATACCTTTTTCCCTTAACAGAAGATCCTTGAGCCAGTAACCAGAAAAACCTTTATCTTGACCTCCTTCCCAGAGGAAAAATATAACCACAAAAGTCAAAATCACACTTATCTTGAAAATAAAATCAATTTAATAACTAAAATACTGCAAGTGCCTATTCTTTATGCCTTCCCTATTTTGCCATCAGGAAATGAACCCAGAATTCCTGTGGGGCCCATGTTAGACAGAACCCGAGTCTCCTGTGAGGCAATATAACTTTATATCATCTGAATACACCTGATTTACACTATCTTTCTGTTCGGCCCTCTGCCTAGAACAGTTTTTTATTTATACCATCTATCTGTTTGGCTCTGTATTCCAGAGTAGCTTCCACCTGTACACTGTACTCTTTAGAGCCAGTGACAATTTTCCCTATCTAAGTTCCAAATCACAGGTGATCATCCCCATGTGATTTGGACAAATCTGTTTATAAATCTTTCCTAAAAGCAAATAACCCCTATATTTTAACTTTATACTTACTGTAAGTGCCTATTTTTTAGACCTTCCCTATTTTGCCAAGCAGGAAATGAACCCAGAATTCTTGTGAGGCCCACGTTAGACAGAACCTGAGTCCCCTGTGAGGCAATATAACATTATATAATCTGAATACACCTGATTTACGCTATCTTTCTATTTGGCCATCTGCCTAGAACAGTTTTTTTTTTAATTTATATCATCTATCTGTTTGGCTCTGTACTCCAGAGCAGCTTCCACTTATACACTATACTCTTTACACATAATTAATTTAAAAAATATGGTAATATAGTTGTGTTCAATTTATATCTGGGAGAAAAGAGTCTTTTAATTGGACAGAAAGGGGGAAGTTTTGTGGATAGCTCCAGCCTTGTATTTTGATGTTAATTCCACTCTCCTGGGAGGGGCTGTAGAGGAGTGAATCAGTACACAGATGACTTCTATTGAAACTTCTGCCCACCTTAATTTGTAAAGTAAAGGCTAGGGCCAGTTATTGGGCAGAGAAGGGGAGGTGGAGAAATAGAGGTTGGTGGGAAGAGAGAGAAGAGAGAGGGACAACAGAGGAAAAAGACAATGGAGGAAGAAGACAATGGAGGAGAAGATGACAGAGGAGCAGGAGGTAGAAAGGCCAAATGCATGACTTGGAAAACCTGCAAGTTATAAGGGTCTCATAGCTGGGGAATAGAGTAGTATAGTGGTGAATCTGTCCAATCTAGGCGTGCAGCTTATATTCATAATTATTGAGTTGTGTTTTCCTTGACTGGTCGCATTTGGGTTGGAGATTTACTGCAACAAATTCTCACCCAACTTATTGCTTTGAAATCAACTAACCTGAGGTAAAACTCCCATAAAAAGCTAAGTGCATCTGAGGGGCCTAAAAAGAACAGCAAAGAGCCATCCTCCTCCAACCCCCAAAGAGCCATCCTCCCCCAGTCCCCAAACAGAGAGCTATGGATGGAGTCAAGAGCAGCACTATGCAAGCAGCTGAGTTTGTTCAGTGCCCTGTAAAAACTGAGGAGAGGAACAGGTGGTCCTAGAACACAACTGCCCACAAGGTAGTTTTCAGCCAGAAACAGTGAATTGAGGGATCCAGACCAGGTAATTCTTTGAATTAAAAAGATATATAACCTTCTGATACTTAAAAATGAGAAACAGAATAAATATCTTGTGGGTTTTATGTGATGATATTTTGAATGGTTTGACAAGAATTGACTTAGGAAAATTGACACTGGCTCTAGAGTGGTCATCTGTTCTGTTTAGTTCAATGCATACAGGTTTCTCCAAAGAAACTCAGTTGGGCTGTGGTTAGGGCCAGCACCTAAATTGAACCCCAGCTTTCAAGTCATCAGACAAAAACCAAACAAGACCATCAACAGGGTAGATGTCACATACAGTGTCCCAGACTCCTTTGCTGTTGTTCCCACATCTGCCATTTTAACATATTACAGCTGTTTTAAATCCTGAGCCACCATGCTGCCTTCCTCAGATTCAGTGTAAATGCTCCAGGAATCCTGTGCTCTAACCAGAAGTCATTGGTTATAACACTGGCTGTTTCTGTTGGAAGACAGGTGTTCATCATATCTGTCTAGATCCTAATATCATTTTAGACATTTGAGTGAAGGCTTTAAGAAAACATTCTGTGCAGAAGCCAGGGAGAGGAATGCTTCAGCCATCAAGTGGGGATGTGATTCCACCACTGACTTCCACCCTGAGGTCTCAGAGACCTCAGAAGCATGAAGTGAAATGAAATCCAGGACCTGAGCCTTCAGCTCCTCTCTGCTGTGGATGTCAGCCAGGATGAGAGTGTGTGAAACATTCTCCACAGAGAGGTTCCTGCAGAGGGCATCCTCACACATGACTATCAATCCCTCGAGACCATACTCATCAGCAGCTGCCAGCAAACAACTGGCCATGGAGTGGCTATGGAGGTGTGGTGCCTTCCCAGTGTAGATGAAGTCCATCATCTCCTTGAAGACTTGGGGATCCAGGTCATGAATCTCAATCTGATTCATTAGGCTTTCCTCCATTTCATGTTCAAACATGGCTCTGAAAACTGGAGAGCGAGCAGCTAAGATGGCCTTGTGAGCCCTGAACTCATGGCCAGCCACCAGCAGGCAACAGTCTGTGAAAAGAGATTTCTCCCACAGCTCCCTTAGGTTATCTGTCAGTATGTGCCAAGGATCCATGACTGCAGGTGTTATGTTCCTTCCAGGGTTGCTAAAGAAGTCTCTTACTATTTTCACCTTGCAACAGATGGTGAGCTGGTCTTCAGGGAGAAACAAATGCTGCTGGGAGAGGAGGAGATCTTGGAGAATGAACTTTTTGAATCCCCAGTGATGGTTTTGCAGAAAGCTAATGATTTTCATGCTCCTTGTTCTTTGATATTTTGCTCCTTGGGAATTTATGATCCAGAACTTGAACTTTGCCCAAACTGGTCTCTCTGGACAGCTGAGCAAACCCAGGAAAACTGACAGGTAACCTTTGCTTTCTTCATCAAACCCATTTGGGTATACTGTCAAACACCATGCCACTTCATTATTGGCCTCTAATGAGAACACTGGGCTTGAAATCTTTTTCCAAATTCCACCAGTGCAAAATGAAAAGTTGCTAATGCTCCACACGTAGCAGATTTTCTGAACACTCATCTGTGTGGAGCACCACCTCTTGGCTTTCCGGTCCCCTGACATTTCTGCTGGAGGTCTTTGTTGGTTAAAGTTGATCTGAAAAGAAGAACTAGAAGTTATTTATTCTTCATTATTTGGGATACAACTATAGATACACTTTAGATTTTAGTTTCAATTTGTCCTAAATTCTCTCTTTCTTCCTCTTCTC